CACGCTGCAGAGCCTCAACCTCGACAGGAACAAGCTCAGGAGCGTCGCCGGCATTTCTAGGCTTGGCAACCTGAAGAAGCTGATCCTGTCCAAGAACGAGATCGTGGACTTCCCCAGTGAAATCCAGAGCCTGGGCTGTTTAGAGAAGCTCGAGCTGAATCAGAACCAGATCCGGGTCATCCCGGAGGGGGTTTTCTCCCGTCTCCTCAGGCTTAAACACTTGCGGCTGAACAACAACCGTCTCAGCGCCCTCCCCAGGGACCTGGCAGCTTGTGGAGGCAGCCTCCAGTACCTCAACATCTCCAACAACCTGTTCCGGACCTTCCCCCCGCCCGTCCTGCAGCTGGCACGCCTGCAGGAGCTCCACGTGCAGAATAATGCCCTTCGCCAGCTCCCCAGGGAGCTCTTCCAGGGGCAGTCCCTGAAAATGTTCAAGGCCAACGGGAACCCCCTGCGGGAGCCGCCCGGTGAGGTGTGTGCCGGGGGCGTCCAGCAGATCAGGAATTACTTCAGCCAGCTCCAGCGTGGATCGGGGCAGGAGGACAAGAGGATCAAGACCATGTTCCTGGGGGCCTCGCTGGCAGGGAAGTCCACCATCTGCAAAAGCCTGAGGCAGGGGCAGCCCAAAGAGGTGCCCAAGGAAGAGCGAACGGTCGGGATAGAGATCAGCGAGTTCCAGATCGAGGACTTCACGTTCCTCTGCTGGGACTTCGCTGGCCAGCTGGAGTACTACATGACTCACCACGTGTTCATCACCCCGCAGGCCCTCGTCATCCTCGTCATCAATCTCCACATGTAAGTGCTGAGCTGCTTTGGAGGCAAAGTGGAGTGGGAGAAGAAAAAAAAAAGGGGCTGGGAAGCTTTCCTCTGCACAGGTTTGTTTTGCCTCTGTTGGACCTCAGTGCCTGGTCTCATTGCTGAAGTAGTTGGCTCCCCCTCTCCCTCTTTTTTGCAGACCACTCTTTAAATTAGGCCACCAGACCTGTCATCACCTTACTGAAGCCCCTGGGACATCCCGGGGTGCATGGTCAGGCCTGTGCTGGTGGAAGCTGCCTGAAGATCCAGAGGGTGAGACAGGAATTTGGGATTTTTCTCTCTTTCCCCAGGTACCAAACCAATGACAAGAGTTTCAAGGAGCTTGTTGGTTTCTGGATCAACAACCTGTCCATGCGTGTCCCCAGCTCAGTGGTGCTTCCTGTGGGAACCCACGTGGACTGCTGCCGGGAGGAGGAGGTGGAGGAGAAGAGGCAGGACATCATGGCCAGGATGGAGGCCATGCTGGCGGAGAGGAGGAGCAACCTGGCTCACTGCATCAACAACCTGGAGGGCAGCGAGGAGCCCGAGTTCTACATGGACCAGTGGGAGAGGCTGAAGGAGATGGAGAGCCACACGTTAACCGTAGGGCTGGCGCTGGCGTGGGGCCTGGCTGGCTGACATCACCCTGTTGAGCCCAGGGTGCCACTGCTGATGGTGGCCTTGGCGCCAGCCACTCCCTGGGGCTGGGGTGGGCACGGGAACCCCTGGCTGTGACCTGCTGGGTCCTCGTCCCTGCTCAGCGATGGGCATCTCCTCCCATGGCTTGTGGCAGAAGCCTGGGGAGGAGTGTGAGGGGCTTTTACTGTCCTTGGGAGGTTTCCTGGGGGCTGCTGCAGAGCAGGGGTGTGAAGGAAGAGCTCTGTGGAGCTGAGGAGTGGCGTGTCCCATCCTTGGTGACCACATTGGCATTAGGTCCATCCTTTGCCTGGCAGGCGAGAAGACTCCCCTGGATGTGCTTCCGGCAGGCGTGTGCTTCCTCTCTTCCAGATCTTAAACTTAGTTGCTGTGAACTGCACGGATCACCGTGGCATCAAGCAGCTGGAGGCCACCATCCTGCAGCACGTGAAGAACGAGGAGCTCTTCCCAGAGGTCGTGCGGGTGCTGCCGCCCGT